GTGGTGCAGTCTCGACTCACTGCAACTTCTGCCTCCCTAGTTCACATGATTCTCATGCCTTAGCCACCTGAATAAATGGGATTACAGGTATGCACCACCACACCCAGCTAATTTTTGTATTTTTAGTAGAGTAATTTTGTATTTTGGTAGTTTGTGTTTAAGAAATTTTGTATTTTCCCCTTTGGCCAGGCTGGTCTTGAACTCCTGACCTCAAGAGATCCACCAGCCTTGGCCCCCCAAAGTGCTGGTATTACAGGCACCAGCCACTGCACCCAGCTGAGATCAAGTTAATATTTTTAAAGCTTATTGTGCATATAAAAAAACTTTGTGAACTAGAAAATTTCAAACCAAAAGTGGTAAGAAGCTCAGCTCATAGCAGTGTAGCTCATGAAGCATAAATGGAGTACACTGATTTTTATTGTGACTGGCTATTATAAACATTCATTCCTTTTAGGGCAATTAGAGCTTTATAAGCTTTTTTGTCTGCAGCCGATTGGTTCAGAATCATACTGACAAGAAATAAAATCTTAAGTTCTGTTCTTGGTTAAAACCAGCATTTTGAGGAAATCAGGATGACTTAAGTGTTAGTTACATGGCTGTGGACAGTTGACCTGGAAGTATATCCAAACTGTGGCCTCTATTTTGAATTTTCTTTAATATTATTCATTTAATTGCTTCTAGAGATCTGTTCTTACCCATGATTATGATTTTGGAAAATTCTTTCAGTGAGATACAGGTGAGAGTTCCACATAAGCAGGAAGGGAGGTTAGCAAACAATGGTGTTATCTAGCAACTTTAAATGATCTCTCATGTCCTTTGCCCTTTGGAAGTGAGTGAGGTAAATACCTAAAACACCCATGGGCTCATGCCTCATGACAGTCAGCATGTGACTCTGGGCAAGTCATTTAATCTCTTTGAGGCTCTGTTTCCTAAAATGTAAAATGTTGTTAAAAGTATCTTCCCTTCCTACCTCACAGGAATATTTTGAGAGGAATATGAAATGACAGGAAAAGTCTGTAATGAGCAGTAACCATCTGCAATGAGTATACAATGGGCTGGTTATAATCTCAGGCTATTGATGAGCTGGCTGTAAATCAGTGGGCTCTGTTGGCGGGCTGAGCTACTCTACAGCTGTTTTGGGAAGCCCAAAGAGAAAAGGACTCTTACATAAGTCCTGAGTCAGACATAACTTTATTCTAATGAGTAAATGGTTGCTTAGAAAAGTTATATGATACTCTATTTTTCTCTATCTTGGTTTTCAGCTAGCCACATTTTAGTAAAACAAAAAAACAAAGAAAAATTTTAATGTACAAAACCCTCTGTAATTATATTTCTATTGCTGGAAAAGACTGACATTGTTGGGAATTTAAAGGGAAAAAATGCTTTTCTCTCACATGAGGAACTTCAGTGTTGTAAGGACATGAGTTTGAGAATTACTGGTATAAGAGTTTGGTATATGAGGAGAGGAGTTTTTTCTTGGATAAGAAATAAAGAATTAAAGAGACAACTGTAACATGGAGTTAGTTTCAGGTTGCTAAGGTCTACCATATACTTTATGTTGTGGAACATTTCTTACCTCAGAAATCCCATTGCTTCCTTTGAAATACAGGGACTATAAAGCTGTTCCAGGCTTCTCTTATCATGCAAAATGAGTCAGGATATTATAGTGGTTGAAAAAGTGGTCTCCGAAGTTTGAATCCTGGTTCTGTCATTTATTGGCAGTGTGACCTCAGGCAAATTATTTATTCTTTTTGTGTCTGTACTAGTTTGTTAGGGCTCCCATAACAAAGTGCCACAAACTGGGTGGCTTAAACAACAGAAATGTGTTGTCTCTGGAGACTAGAGGTCCGTAATGAAGGTGCCACTAGGGTGGCTTTCTGCTGATGGCTCTGAGGAAGAATCTGGTCCAGACCCCTCTCCTAGTTTCTGGTAGCACCGGACATTATTTTGCTTGTAGATGGTATTCTCCCTGTATCTTCACATTATGTTGCGTCTTTACTTGTTTCTTTCTGTGTCCAAATTTTCCCTTTTTAAGGATGAGTCACACTGGATTAGGGCCCAACCTATTGACCTCACCTTAACCTGATTATCTGCAAAGTCTATTTTCACCATCTTTTGGGGGGGACACAATTAAACCTGTAACAGTGTATTAGTTTCCTTGTCTATAAAATGAGGATGGTGATAGTTACCTGACAGGAATATTGTGAGATAATTTTGGGTTAAGAGATGGCATCGGTTTAGAATAATTTCTAGACTATAGCAATTGCCCAAAAGGATAGAGGGCAATTGTTATAGACTAGAAATTATACAAGGTTTACTTATGTAGCCTTGGGAAAATGAATAAACCTAAATTGAAAGGCCTATCATCTAGCACCGATATCTGTTATCAGGGCGGATTTGACTCATCATGTTTCCTAGTCCTTTCTCCCCATCTTCTATGGAATAAGCCTATTGCCCACTCATCTGGTATCATGACAATACCCTAACAACCATGAGGAGGACTTGCCTTTAGTTTCAGGCATGAGGATAGGTATATGTCTCTGTTTGAATCTCTCCTCTCCTTATTTTTCCAAGTCATGGGACAATGTTCAAAAGGTATCAGGTCCTTCAAATATCAGTTGGTATTTTAGGAGAGCTGAGTGTCAGCCCTTGCCAGTCATTCCTAGGTTGTGTGACCCTAGACAATGCTATCTCTTATCTGCATCTCACTGACCCCTGCTATAAAAGTTTCATTATTCACATTTACATAGCACTTTAGAATTCTCAAAGTGATTTTGTTACTAATTTGTCTTATTTAAGCCTCACAGTATCCTGTTGCAGTAGGTTATTATCATCCCATTTTATAATATTGAGGTTGAGAGAGATGATTTAGTTGAACAAGATGACACAGATAGAAAAATCCCAAATTATCAAAATCTAGTCCCTTGACTCTGAGTACAGTGCTTTTTGCATTATCCTGCTGTGTCTGAGGGATACTTTGTCTTCTCATTTGCCTGTGTAAGACTGAACTAGTAGAACATCCCCTTGTTAGAATGGGAAGACCAATCCCTCAGGCATTTAGTCCATGCCTATCCCAATTCTGGGGATCATGAAGGAGTCAAGGCAGTATAGCAAAAATAAAACAAAAACTTCCAAATGCTTTGAAAAGTAAGTATTTTCTAGTTTCAAAGTGGCTCTAAGAGGAAATTACTGCACATTGCAAAGCAAAAATGTCAAAAAATTATATTTTCACTTTTCTTTCTGATTTGGATCCCCATTCTTCCTATGTCCTTCCTCAACTCTATCAAATCTGTATTCTGGCCTACTTTTTCATTTTCTTGCTCGTTCCCTCTCTCTCTACATAATTGTTTTTCTTTCCTCAAACCTTTCAGTGTTCCAAGGATGTTGAACTTTCATCCCCCATTTTCTGAATTTCCATGGCCCATGAAACTGCCTCCCAAACTGCTGTTGGACAGAGGAGGAAGACTGGCTTTCCAGTGCTTTTTCTGACCTTGGCTCAGAACCTTGAGAAGTCCTGGAGGGGAGTCCAGGACAGCTTTTGCTTGCCAAACTCTATATAATCATGCACACATCCTTTCTTTTCTGGTCTTCAATTTGCCAATGTGTAAATAAAGAGATTGGACGGACTTCATTCCTTGAAGCCGATTCTGGTTCTGACCTGCTCAAGCGCTCCTCTCTGCCTACAGTAGCCTGTGTCGGCTTTGCTAGACCCGGGGCTTTTATAGGCACAGGATGGAAGCGTGGCAGGCCAGGGTGGTCTTGAGAAATGCAACATTTGGGCTGGAAGTGCCTGTCCTCACCTAGGTCCGTGGGGTTGGAGCCCTAGCCAGGGACCACACCCTCCTCTACCCAGCACTTCTACCTTCCATATAATTTAAAGGGACCACCCTTCTCTTCCCAGCACCTTCCTTCCATATCCTGGCAACCAGTTCTATTGTATGCTGCCTTCCCAGGAGGGGACACACTTGGAAAGAGGGCTTTCTAAGAGATTGGTGATTGCGTGGTCCCCCTGAACCATCCGAGACAGCTACATGTTTTCTCTAGCAATTGAGAGAGCAGACCCGGCGTGGTGACTCTGGCCTGTAAATCCTGGCACTTTGGGAGGCTGAGGGGGGAGGGATCGCTTGAGCCTAGGAATTTGAGACCAGCCTGGGCAACATAGGGAGACTCTGTCTCTATAAAAAATTTACAAAATTAGCCAGGCTTGGTGGCACATGCCTGTGATCCCAGCTACTTGGGAAGTTGAGGTGGGAGGATCGCTTGACCCCAGGAAGTCGAGGCTGCAGTGAGCTGTGGCTGTGGGAATACACTCCAGCCTGGGCAACAGGAGGAGGCCCTGCCTCAAAAATAAAACGAAAAGAAAAGAGACCACTCTGGCACATACAGTACAGCCTAACGACAAGTGGCCTGGACGACCCGACGTAAGGGTGACTGTATAGATCCCACACATTCCTCTAAAACACCAGCCTGAAGCAAGAGGGATGTTCCTTTTCCATGCTCTTTTTAAGGTTCTGAGACGTCTGTTTTTCTCCCCTTGAAGACTGGTTTCTTCTCCCCTTTAACCTTATCTTTCTATAATCCATATCCTTCTGTGAGACTTGGAAACAACAACAAAAAAATCTACCACTCTTCACTTCTTTAATAATTATGGAGGATTTTGCTGTTTTACTTTAATACTAATCTTCCCTGGTAAAGCAATCAGAAATGGCTTCAACACCACCAGTTTTGGGATATGTTCCTCATGTGATTCTCCTGCTTCCCAAAATCTCAAACTGGAAAAGCCCTGGGTCAGGTTTGTTTTTCCTGAAAAAGATTCGTTTCCCAGAGGCAAATCAGTACTATGAACGCCGTACAGTTACTACCAGTTCCCAGCAGTATCATCCAAACCCGATACACTGGGCTGCACTTTTTCCCATTGTCAAACAAGGTCTCCAAACCCAGTTTCAGAGTCTGACACACAGGAGCTTTTGTATACCAGGACTTTCTTTCGTATACAGCACCCGATTATACACAGGCTTTCTCCCTCGTCCTTCGGGTTCAGTCTCTGCCGTTATAGGGTTCATTATTGATATCCTAGATGCCTCATCCTCACCCCCGTGAGCACGCAAGGGCTCACGGAGCTTCAGGTCTCTTCTCCCTAAGCAGAAATGGCCTTGAAGAGAGGCCGAACCTTGGAAGCGGCCTTGGAGGGAGGACCAGCAACCGCGCTGTCCTCCTTGCCCCGCCTCCTGGAGTCTAGTCCGGAATGCCGCCTCAGTCGACGAACTACAATTCCCAGAAATCTCCGAGATGCTTATCGTCACAGTGCCTTAGACTCCATTTCCCAGAAGTCTTAGGGCGGATTTCCATGCGCCCCAGAGACCCTGTGTGACGTCATCGGCTTTCGCTTTAAGAATCGAAAGCCTCCTGGGTGGGCAATGTGTTGTCTCTGTAGTGGGTCTTGTTTTGCGGGGATTGCCCAGCAGGAATCGCTTGTCATTTTTTTTTTCTAACAAAGTGATAATTCACAATGCGGCTTTCGTCTTTTTTTTTGGTTGGATTTTATTCACTTAACATGCATTTTCCAAGCCTATTCTACATTTCTGATTTGTGGGCTGTGAGAATGAAGAAAGATAAGTCACTAGATAAAGGTTTTCACTATCATTATAATAATTCAGCCATTCAAGAAGCCACGATCCTTCCCCCAACATTTTCCCTGCTAACCCCTCCCCTTCTCTGTCCTCAACAACATGCACAAATACACACTCTGATAAGCATAAAGGGATGAAAAGCAAAAAATACTGCTTAGATCATCGCTGGGCATGTTAGTATATCCTCTTTCAGCCCTTTTAAAATTTACATATTTATGTGTTTATATATGACATATACAGAGAAAGGTTATGTGTATTATGTTTATGCTCAAGAAAACTGTTATAGTTTGTACTTAACAAAATGTTTACATATTCATCTTAAAATTTTTCCCATGTTAATATTCTTTTACATTATAATTTTTAATGCTATTATCTAAGAACTAACTAATCTTGTACCGTGTATCGGCATTTCTTTCCAGGCTTCCTAAACAGTGTTTTTATTTGGAATCTCTAGTAAATGGTTGAGTCTGCTATTGTTGAAACAATTTTATAAAATTATTTTATTAGTTGTGATAATGACATTATGGTTATGCTTAAAGGAAGAAAAAGTCCTTACATGCTAACAAGTCAAATAGTAAAATGTCTGGAACTTTAAAATACTTCAGGAATAAATAACAGTGGGAAGTAGGGGAAGGGATTGCTGAACAAGATTGGCAAAGTATTGATTATTGTTGAAGTTAGTGAAGGATACATAAGAGTCTACCATACCATTCTATTTTGTGTCTGTTTGAAATGTTCTGTATTAAACTTTTTTTTTTTTTAAATGTATACCAGCATTCCTCTTAGAACAAGTGAAACCAGCTAATTCTTTCCTGCCACGCATTCAGGTCATTCTTGGTTGCTGCTCAAATGAAGAATTTTCATCTCTGCTGTCATCTTCCTACTGCTCAGTGATTCTTTTTCCTGGGACCCATCCTCTTCCTAGTGTTTCCACAGTACCTCTGAAACTAAATAAATTTCAGCTCTTCCCAGAACACTCTTTCTTTCTTCATGCTTTCTCCCAGATCCTGCTCTCTCCAGAAACTGATTCCAAATCAAGGTTAGAGTTCTTATTCTTCTGAGTCCAAAGACTCTGTGGTGGTATCCCATAGATTGCCTGCACCAATTTCAAGCACACTGGTGTATTTCTACTACAGGTTTCTAAAACCACATCTCCCTTGAGGTACAAGGCACAATGAGGAACAAACCATGTGGCTTTTGTGCCCCTTATCACCATCACCTACACAACTCCTAATCTTGTATACATACATCCAGCATACATCTGTCATCTGGCTTGTAGCCTTCCACTCTATCTCATGTCTCAGTTAATCCTGAGTGACATCAATCTGCCTGACAGAGTAGATGCTCAGTAAATATTTATTGAATCAATCAATATACACGTGGATGAATCATCCAGCAAACATTCTGCTTTTTATCTGCATCCCTGGGATCTGGCAGGCAGGAATCCCCACGCCTGTGAGTGATGCAGCATCTGCTGCCTGTGCTTCTCTCCTCCCACTGCCGAATCTAATCCTTGTCTTTTCAATTCTTGTTCCAAAAGTTCTCCCCCTCCTTTGCCTTTAGAAGGTGCCTGCCATCTGCTCCCCACCCACAACCTTCTGTCCTTGACAGTGTTCACACCCACCGCTTAGCTCCTATCCATTGCAACTGCCAAAGAGATCATTTCTTTCTGCCTCCTATACGGCTTTGCCTTCAATTTTCAGTCTCAGACTTCAATTTTCAGTCTCTCCTTTTCTAGTGACTTATTTCATTATCATTTTAAGCAAGTCTAGATAAGTCTCTACTATTTAAAAACATCTTCATTAAACCCACATGCTACCTTAGTCATCAAGCTAATTCCTTTTAATACAGTCAGATCTTTGTTCCTTCAGACTATTACTATTTCCTCCATTTTCCTCCTTGCCATCCACTTGTTCCATAGCCTCTTAAATTTGACCTAACTCCCTGAAACTCAATTATATCCTATCTTAGAGAAAGGAAAATTAAAACTACGTTTCACCAATCAGATAGGCAAAGATTCCTAAATATGACAACATAGTCTTTGTCAAGACTGTGGAGAATCAATTTCATATGTTGATGGTAGGGGTAATAACCCTATGAATATCTGGCAAACTAAAAAATTTCTCTAATGAACCCTGAATGTCAAACAGCTAATTAAAAAGAATGAAGAAACTCTCTACTTGAAAAGATTTCTGGAACATATTATTGAGTGAAAAAAAGCCAGGTGTATAGTACTCTATGTAAACAAACAAACAAAATGGAATTAAAACAAGAATGTGTATTTATATTTGCTTATGTCTTTACCAAAGCTCTGGAAGGATGAACAAAATAATTAAAGTGGTTACTCGGAGTTCTTAGGCAGATGGAGAACAAGGGTAGGAGTGACAAGTTTTTCTTTGTGGTTTTTTTATACTTTGTGCTTTTTGAACCATATGACTGTTTCTATTTATTCAAAAACTTAACTTTTCAGAGGACTCCACTAACCTCTAATTGTAAAGCTATTCTTCCTGGTACAAATTCTAACTCTGTAGCATGCTACACCACACACCAGTTCTTCCTTGGAATTTCCTGATCCAACTTTTGAGGACTTTACCCTCCTAGTTCTCTGACTTCCCTTAAGTAACTTACTTCTCAGTTTTTGACTCTTCTCTGCATTTCCTGAGTACAGATATTCTCCACAGTTCTGTCTTGAGCATCTTTTCTCTGGCTCTCTAGTCTCCTTCTGCGGCAACTTAAACCATTACCTCTGTGTACTAGGTCTGCGTCTCTGCCCAGGGCCTTCCTCCTGAGCTTGACTCACATTTCTAGCTACTTCTGGATGTCTCCAGATCCATATCATCACTCTGTTGTCACTACAAACCAATGTGTCCAAAAAGGAACTAATCATCTTCAATGCAGCTTTTTCTACTGGCTACCATGTTTGGTGGTGTCACCCAGCCGAAACAGGGCACATTGGTGGTCACAAAAGCTGGGGAGTGCTACTCAAATTTAGTAGGCCGAAATCATTGATGATAAACATCCTAAAAGGTCTGGTACAGTCTGGTACAGTGGGAACTGTCCCATCCAAGTGCCAATAGGGTAATGACCTCACCATTTATACCATCCTCTTGTTTCAAAATCTGATGTCATTTACAACTCTTCTCTTTTTCTTACCCACACATTTAGTTGATCATCAGGTCCTATAGATTCTGTCTCGGAAATTTCTCCTCCCCTTTGCTCTTGTCACTGACTTAGTTCACATAGGAGCTCTCAGCTACAACTTTGCCAAAGCTTTCTAAACTGACCTCTGCCTTGAATCTTCCTTTTCCTATTTCACATTGCTGTCGGAGTTCTCCTCCCTCAAAACATCTGATCATGGCCCTCTTCAATAAACAACATAACCCAAGCTCTAGCATGACAGCCCAGTTTTTCAACTTTATCTCCACTTCTAATCTGTGTAGGACAAAGCAGTCATTTCCACTGCCTCTTTACTCTCGTCTGGAAAACAAAAAGTCCTAAGAAATAACTGGTCCTACTCAGGCACTCCTGGGATTCCCATGCAAAAACTCACCATCCACCTGTTTATTGGAATCTACCTTCCTTCCCTACAATAATCAAGGTTCACCTTTTATTATGCTGATTTCTCTTCCCAGAATGCATTTCTTTCCTCCTTTCTTTGCTTGGATAGTTTTATCAAGGCTCATGTTAAAATGTCACGTTTACTGGGAAGTTTAGCATGGAATAAAATGGCTTGCTGTTTCTTGGCCGAGTACATCACTTTGTTTACATCTTTCGTACAGGTGACATTTCATTATATAATTTTTTTTTTTTTGAGATGGGGTTTTGCTCTTTTTGCCCAGGCTGGAGTGCAATGGTATGATCTTGGCTCACTGCAACCTCTGCCTTCTGGGTTCAAGTGATTCTCCTGCCTCAGCCTCCTGAGTAGCTGAGATTACAGGCTTGCTGCCAGGCCAGGCTAATTTTTTGTGTCCTTATTAGAGGTGGGGTTTCACCATGTTGGCCAGGCTGGTCTCGAACTCTTGACCTCGTGATTCTCCTGTCTCAGCCTCCCAAAGTGCTGGGATTGCAGGTGTGAGCCACCGTGCCCGGCCTATCATATGATTTTAATTGTTCCATCTGTATGCACGAATAGATTGTGAACTCTTGAGGCCTAATTTTATTATATTTGTATCTGTAATTTCTAAGAAATACGAGTCCTCAATAAACATTTGTTAAATAAATAAGGAAAACTACATGAAAAGGAAATACTGGATTTGTTCTCTGAGGAGGAAGTGGTAAATTCCACTGTAGGAGTACCTAATTGGACATGCCAGTGAAACATTGGACATGCTTTTTTAAATTGGACATGCCATCTAAGTAGAAATGTCCAGTAGGCAGCTAGAAGAACAGGATGGCAGCTTACAAATGAGGCAGTACAGATCATATTGTTCTTCAGAGTAATCTCTTTAGGCATCATGACTTTGTTTATACTGCTTTCATTAATTTTATTCTTCCATGTCAGATCTTTCTGCAAACAAAGTAACTTGAAATATCCCAATCTTAGCAAATTAAAATGAAAATTATAGAGCTTTACAGTTAAGAATTAAAATTTTCTTTTCTGTTTTAGATGCTTTTAAATATCACCTTTTAAATATAACATTAGTCATTTTTAGTACTCAATTCCTCAAATTTTTTATTTCAAGCAGCAAAATTATAACTTTTAACATTCTATGTGTGAT